TTAAAACAAGGTGGCACTACCTGACTCGGAAGCCTTGACAGGAGAGGAAGGCGACTGACAACCATGGAGATCACTGAATCATCGTTCGATGTCGTCGATCCTCAAAACAACCATATCGCTTAACTGGAACACATTGACTTGTTTAGGGACTACAGCTCAGAAAGTGCTGCTGAAGCAGTGCTATCAGGCTTGCTCCACATGTCGGTTCTCGGTGATTTGAATGCCAACAAGAAAGGAGAGAAGCACTGACGAATAAATTCAACACTTTGAGACACCTATGTCGTCAAACGGATACATCCCTCAATCTCCAGGGACGTGTGTATATCAGGATAAGGTAGGGCTGATTTGTTGTATGGTTATGATACTTGACTTGTTAGAGCAGCGGAGCTGAGGCGTCTTCAGGTCCTCAATAATCGTTGTCTCTGAATCAGAGCTCCTGGGGGTGGTGTCGGAGAATCCGTAACGAAGCAATTAGAAAGCGAGTTTCCGGTTAAGCAACGAGCACTTTCAATGAAAAATGTGTCCAGCACCAGGAGCTGCGTTGGTTAGGCCATGTACGGCGGCGAGATGGTTCGGTGGTTAGAGCGCGAAGTTACTGACCGGAAATTCCGCAGTTCGCACTCGACCTCTGCCTCTCCACTTCCTATGTCTAGGCTTATGCAACGTGGCAGTATCCCAGCCCTCATACTTCCTTCAGGTGGCACGGCAGCTAGGCACCGAAAAGGTGTTATAGCTGAACGATTTTCATTATAAGACATGCATTGCGTATGCCGAACCATCGTTTGCCTCATAAAGTGCTGCTTTCGGTTCCAAATTCAGAATAGTCGAAGCGGGATGGTGAACAAACCCTGACCTAGCAGAGGGGTATGAAAGAGATTATGAACCGTTTGGGTGCTGTCGGTGTCACTCGCCTTCCAGGATGAAGACAGCGTGATCTCCACTGGCGCCTGACTGGAGACGCTGAATGGAAATCGATGTTATCGGCGTCCCTGTTTTTAGTTCCTATTCAGATTGCCTGAATGAGTGTAGTGAGTAGGCATTTCAGTAAGCTGGCGCTAAGTCACTTCCCTGCCCACCTTTATTCCCTTCTTCAAAATAAAGTTTTTAAATAAACCATATTTGTACGGCAGCGCAGCTGAACACTGATGTCATGCTGTCGATGATGGTGCCCCTCCTTCTTGGACAACTTGATTCCGATCACGCTATGGTGCGTACACGCCCTACAATCCGTCTTCCCCCAAATCCTGGAAAGTCAGTAAGAAACATGCCAATCCGCCATCTTCAAAGGACTACCGTAGCTCAACATTACGATTTGAGCTAACCCGACAACTCTCCACAGTAAATCAATACTGTACTGGTTGTGAGCACGCGGATGAAGAATCACAAAATGTGGAAGGAACTATGCTATCGGCATTCACTGCTGTCTGTCCAACTTCAATTCGACCACACAACCACTGGATGTCGTTGAAATCGCTACCCATGATTGATGCCAGGAAACCCATACCAGCAGATGACGAGTACGACGGCGCCAAATAGTGAAGAGTCTAAGGAAAGACCGAGGGCTCTGGTGGACATCGAAAGCTCGGGAGATGGAGAATGCTTTTGCTACGGGAAATAACCGGCCTCCTGCAACCCAGTCGGTATGGACCTTAATCACCCGTCCGAAGAAGAAATAGAGTACGAAATATCCGTACTGAAACGTGTGAAGGCATCAGGGTCAGATGGTCTGTATCCAGGTTCCTTCAAAGCAGGCGGAGGATTCCTGGTGATACATCTAATAAAGTTTATTGGTGCGATATGGAAATAAGAAAAAAGTGCCAGCAGATTGGGACACGTCTACAATTATTCCCATCTTCAAAAAGGGTATGTGGACCTTGAGTGAAAACCAACATGGTATCAGCCTAGTAGCTGTGACACCAAAGATGCTCTCTGGTCTGAGTGAACACGAGGAGAGGCAGATCCACGAAAGTCAAGCTGGCTTCCGTCCTGCAAGAGGATGCATCGATCACAATTCACCCTCCGACAGATTCTGGAACAGCCACACTGTTTCCAACAACCGAAAATGGTTGTTTTCTAAGCTTGAAAGCTACGTTTGACTCTGTAGACCATCAGGCACTACTGCAATGTCTGTGGAGCAAAGGTTACCCCCATTAATTCTTGACCCTCATTAAGGCACTGCACGCCGACTCCCGCGGATGTGTGAAGGTCTAAGGTAAGCTCTGGTCTGATTTCACTATATCAAGTGGTGTCAGGGGGCGCTGTCCTATTTCACCTTCCCTTTCCAACTTCGTCATTGGAACGATTATGAAAGACTCACTATCAGCCTCTAACGCCTGTGGGGTCGAAGTGCTCCCGGGGCATTGCTCACAGACCTCGAAGTGTTCCCGGGTCATTCGCTCACAGACAACAGTTGTTCTTAAAACTGACGCCATGATAACGTAAACAATATTGAATAACCTAAATAATTCCGCCTCGTGGTTTGGCATGCGCTCCACATCTGCAAAGTTAAAGTGGTTACTGCAGACTGGGTGGAGATGTCCATCCTGAATGGGAAGGTCAGAGCACCTTTTGTGAACCTGTGTCACCCGTGGCGTAGGCGTGACACCAGCTTGTCCATCAGTGGTACGAGGAGGAATCATTGACTGGAAAACCTCTAGTGTGGAACATGTTGCATGCAGTATAAATAACCGATAGGTAAGCCCAAGGTTGCTACCCGTAAACAGTTCATGAGGAACCGGATACCCCGAATATGTAAAGTAATACAGCTTACGACCTTTTGGTTAGGTAGTAGATAGAAGTGCTGCCTTTGAATAGAGAGGATTACGAATCGAAGGAAATGACCAAGATAAGCGAAAGAAACTGGACATTACAAGCAATGCCCCAGGTTTACTGTAGAACGCATTGACTTCGGTAGGTATCTTCACCATTGACTAGGTTTTGCGTTCAAAATGGTTAAAGGAACTGTTACGGAACCCGTGAAGTATTTCACCCGAATATGCCGAATGGTGTCAGCTGTTCAGACAATAAGTCAGCCCTCGGTATGGGACCCAGGGGTAGTGAACCGAAAGACCGAAGACCAGCCGTCCACACTGGAGGACGCCAACTGCCGCCCTGTGGCTAGTTTATCGCTCACAGCAGAATGAGGGACAGACATTGTTATCACTGACACACAAAATACTCAATTACAGTCCAAAATTCACTGTATGGTGCATCCATAACACGTTGATGCAAATTTAGTTGGACCTGAGAGTGTGGTACCTGTGTCCGTGTAATGACCGCTAACTCGGATTCACCTTAAAGCGCGACTGCTACGGGTGGTCCCATTTGATTAAGAGAATAACAGTTGTTGGTACGAAGCAAATGAATCATAAAACAGCTTGGATATGTTAAATTTTGCGAGTTTAAATCCAATCCAAACTATGTATAATTAATAATTGACATTGTTCGTAGATCGCTGAATATTAACTGTAATGGGCCTCCCTGTTATGTCGGCCTGCAAGTGACCTCATTTCAAGAGAAAATATTGAGGCATCTGACTACTTAATCGCGTTAAGAAACGATCAATCATTCACATGAATCTTACAGTAACGATGACACCTTCACTGGAAGAATTACCTGTTCACCTGGTTCAGTAAGCATGTTAATTGGCCGGTACTCATAATCGATTCCTTTCAAAGCGAGAGCTGTAAAGCAGAAATAAAAAGCAGTGACTTTCAGAGTTGTAACAGTGCTGTGTAATGACATCACATTTGGAAATATTCCTTCACTCAAAAATGAAAGTGACCACGGTTACGATGGTACCCTAAAGGTAAATTGTACCTGCAGCCAAATATAGGAATGAAAGAATTTGACGTAGATGAGTACAGCATGAGCTGTTTCTGTACGAGCAGATTTGTTGACGCCCAAATTTCTCCAGTAATTTGGGTCTTTGAAGTCAGCTTTGCTATTGACGAGTTGCATACAAGTTGCAACCAACCCCCCTGAATCAGGTCAACAATTGTGTACAGTCACTTAGGAAGTCAACGACTTCCCCATCTTGTTGGACTGTTAAATAGAGCATTCAATACATACCCTCCGGCCATTCTATTTGGAATCCTCAGCTAGTTTGCAGATCTTGAAGACAGCACGGGCCTTACTAAACGCCGGCACCTCGTACGGACGACGCGTAAACTCTTAACAAAAATGCACGACGATGGTATTATCACCCCTAAGCTTCCGATGAGTGGACAGCTGCATAGCATAATAATGAGTTACCAAGGATGACTGAGTTCGTTGGAAGCAACTCACCGATACGGACTCGATAAGAGGCAGAGCTCCGATAACACGAGTAAAGAATAGGCTAAAATGGTCCAATCTGGAGGTATTGAACATGCGCAAACCCACCTTAGACATTCCGTATTCGAAACACTCTAGAACATGATAGAAAATCAAGTTGGAAACCAATTCGAAGGGACAAAAGGCGACGTGAATTGTCTACTGCTAATAAAAACGAGCGACGGTACTTTCAGTTCGTACATTACCAAGCAACCGAAATGCGCTGGAAGACCTTATATCAAACACGTTTGCACGGGTGGGGTGGGGAATGCTAGGGACGTCACCTGTGCATACCAAAATGAGCCCCGAAGCGTCTAGCATGAAAGGTCTTATTCACTACAGTCTCCAAGGTGATAGCTGACAAGGATGAAAGCATGGTGCCTGGCGATACGGCAAAGTAGGAGAATTCAGTTCATGGTTGAGCTATCTCGACTTCATACCGTCCTTGGATAGGTGGAATCTGCACCATCTGTTTGAGATTATTAGGACAGGCTTGCTGATGAATGTGAGGCCGAAGGCTGTACTGGGCATCTCGGAAAGATCACCGTATCCAGACAATAAACGAAAGTATCAGTTGTCAGTTAACACGCTCTTGGACTACGGGTGTTCGGGCACCATGAATCAGAAACTTTGATGACACCCTGTCAGTTTCATATACTACCCACAGGCGAAGACAGCGGCACAGCGCGGAGAATCACCCATCAGTTAAGCGACTCCATCCGTAGACTCTCGAATAATTCAGACAACGAGTTAATGGAGGTCCTGAATATCATATCCAGTTCACCGTACAATCAACACGGTTAGCGTAGGTAACACGAGAGTTAAACAGCCGGTCTTTCCTTGTGCTTTAACCTGCAAACTGGAGTGCTATTGATATGGGACAGTAGGTGTTAGTTCATGCTCCCCATACATGGGTAATTCGTACTTAGAATAACGCTTTAACTTTCGCTGATAACATTATCAATGTTTTTCGTGACTGAATGCTGTTGTCTAGCCCTCAAAACTCCAAACTTGAAAACTATTCTTTGAATGGTCTGACCAGTTCTATCTTCGTTTGGTGTGAAAAGCGAACCACCTGCATAAAAGTACGTGAATGTAACCCTCTCCAATCACAAGATTTCACTGTTTGCAGATCGATGAGTAATAAGTTACTCGTAAGGCTGACCAACTGTCTCGGGCATCAACTCGGAGTTGACTCTTCTGGTGGCTTTCAAACGCCGTCGGTCATACAACTCTCCTAATCCACCTTTCCTTACTATGGGAACATTGAAGCCCCACCACGATGAGAAAAAGAGACTTACACCTCTAATTCAAACCCATCCGCATCCGTCCCAGTGAAGTCACTGGTCCCAAGTCAATTTTCGTGCGCAGTTACTACCAAAGACTTTCACCAGTCTTCCTTCTCGCTATACCCAGGGCTTTTACCAACAGCTGGTTTTGTCGCTCCGCATTTTTTTGCCTGTGAGTGGAGTTGTATTCTCATCCTGAAAACGTTCACATATTCTCGCCATCAACAAACGTGGATCCCCGCCTTATATAGAAAAGTTGAAATCTAGTGTGGTACTTGTCCAACACAATGTGGATCAGCTGGAGTTTGTCAAGCGGCTTAGGTTGGCATCTTCATTAGTATCTGTATCTGTATCCACTGTATTGGTCTAGTATTGCTTTTCATAATGTCCTGCTACCGTCGATGAGGGACTTTGTCTTGTACAGGTTTGTCGTCATTGCCAATACTGAAAGTAACATTGGATGATGGTCACCTAAAAACGATCCCGTCATACTTTAGGTTCAAAACGCATCAGTCAGTCAATTTTTCGGATCGAAAACTGTTCAGCAATGTGCAGTGGTTCCAGCTGCCACAGCTTCGTACACCGATGATAAAGAAAATGAGGAAGTGAAAAATATGCATTGGATGCAACGGCCCAATCATTTTGTTTGCGTCCAATGGCTTGGCTTCTTTTGTAGAGGAGGGCGAGATCTACGAAATGAAGGCGATATCGTTCATGAACGTCATGGTTTGACCTCCCCTGGCTCGTTTCCACCATTCACATAGGTATGCAAAAACAACTGTTCGAGGAAGTCGGTCGAATGACATAGGGAGCACGTGGCCAAGCCAGCGCAACCTATGCAGCATGACCAGTTCATCTATCGTGGGCAAGTTATTTCATCCAAATACCATTCCACGTATTTCACCAATGCTGATCCGGTGTTTCTACCAGAATCGGACAACGCTTCGAAGAGACTGGGAGTCAAACACCGAAAGTTTTTTGAAGTCTTCCGTGCGCAGCCGCAACATTTCTGACCCATGCAGCAATATGGATATCCTCGTAGTATTGAAAACTCGGCCAGTAACGGACAAGCCGTCAGGCCTACGCCACAGGTGACACAGGTTCGAAAGGCTGCTCTGGGCTTTCCAATCCGGATGGAATTATCACCTTCCACCAGAACACCGAAAGTGATACAGCTGCCCAGGTAGAAAAACTTATCTACTACCTCAATCGGCTCATCCGCAAGCACGAAGCTGGGGTACGAGTATGTCGTTTGTCAGTAGCACTTTACGCTTTCACGGATTCACGGATTGATACACAGGATCGAGGCTTTTGCCCAAGTTTCCCGGGTCGGTTTTGTTCTTGTCGGTCAGCGGCTGTCGTTCACCATGCACTAATATACACGGCAGAGAACCGTATAGGTTGCAGATTGTCTCCGCAACACTCACGGAATCTCACACCAGGTTGGTCAGAAGAAACGACAATCTCGAACCGTAGCTCTTCACCGGTGGCTGGTGGCAACGTGATCCAAATGGGTCCATGGTTGATTGGCAGTTGGTGGCCGCCAGGTTACGTGACTCGAACGTTTATGTTGAAAGATTATACTGGTCAGAAACAGTTGGTGATCTGCACACAATCGGGGGAGTCGCATCGACTCCGAGTCCACCGCCCAAATATGATTCCAAGGAGCCCAGACGGCCGACTTCAGTATCCATATCGTCCGCAAGTGTTCGGGGGCCAGCCGAACAGCACATCATTTGGACGGATGTGTCATATGCAGGACACGGGCCAGACGAAGCTATGCCCTGATTGGTCAGAATGCCAGCCAATCCGAGTCATGCACCTTTGACTCGACGCCTCTCGCCCCTCAGCGATATTCTGGCACGACCTTGTGGAACGCACTGTGACTACCCTATAAATACAGTTGTACTAATTTTCCTTTGTTTCCATAAAGGGCTGTGTAGAGCTGCCGTGCCATTTGAGATACCATAGTGGGCGGAGCAAGGAAGCCAAGGGACCGATACAGAGTTGCACGACCGTATACAAAGTCATAGTAGCAAGTATCAGTGTCATTGTTTCATGATTGACGAATGAGCCCAGGTAACTCTCGACAGATAATATCCCTTGCTGCGTCAGAACTGCAGTCCCCGGAGGTGGCGATACTCCAGCGGAAATAGGCCAAACACCGCGAGATGTGTTTTATTGCTGCTGAACTTAAGGCCAGCAATCATCTTCGTGACAGCTGGTTGGAAACGCTCAACGACGGTTACATCTTTTTCGAGACTTGAGTAAACAACTTGGTTGGTGTACTCAAGAAGCGGTTTGACGTAGGCCGCATATGGTATCTGGAAGTCCGTACGAGTAATACGAGGGAAGGTTCGCCTAATTGCAAGTAGAACGGCGAATGTCTTTTGAGCTGATTTTTTATGGCGCAATGAGGACATGTTTGAAGAGAGCCACATACCCAAACCATTTTGTTATCTATCAACGTAATATCTTAGGGCCCATTGTCGCCGTGCACGACAGAGAAATTCACTGAGTATCCTGCGAATAATATATAGGTGCACCCTATGTCTTTCAGGGGAAGGTGCCCATCTAACGACCACCGCTTCGCAGAGTGTACATCCATTTTGACCCCAGGGTTTATAGTCCTTCGCAAAAAGTAGACATGAACTTGAAAGACCACCTGGAAGGTCGTTGACATTGATCAGAAACAGCAGTGGCCCCAAAACAGAGCCCATAGAAAATCCAATGGGGACCGGCGCCGAGCTTACTTTCCCTCGGAGTGTTCTGTCCCATAGAAACTTTTTAATCCGGTGTGGAAATTCCTCTGGAATCACGTAAGTCTCGGGCTGAGGGAGCAAAGGAACATGGGGGTTCGACTGAATGCCTTTGAGAACCCTGGCAGCACATGCAGTTCAGAGTAACCGAGCTTTTCGGTTATGGCTAATAGGTGATTGTCTGCACCAACATTACGGTCAAATAGCCATGTTTTCCGGTTGCTGTTCGACTTAATTCGAGGAATATGGCATCGGCCATTAGACCTTAGCTCGGTTGAGGGTGTCCATAAATAAGAGCCTGCTTGTCATGCAAGAACGTTTTGGGAAGAAATGTGTTGTACTAAGAGTTTCACTCTGCTTGTGATGAGGTGATTGGCGTGACAATCGCTTCCTCCCAAACAGAGGGAAGGTTGTGTCCGGAGACCAGCCGCCTTAACGACCGAAAACCACACGTGTAGGCTACAGATCGAACGAAGTCATGCCCTGATTGGTCAGTGTCAGCTAGTCTGGATCGAGTATACCTCTGTAATGTACTACTCATAGGGTTGCTGAAAATCCGTCGACAGCCCACGACCGGTTGTGCCCTTTTTGGGACTCATCAGGTAGGCGCAGTCCCCGGGTTTCCATCAACCTTATTCTTTACTTGAAACCAAATTGCACAAAATTGGCGATTATACACTAACCCAATTATATTAGTTTGCAAATGAGTGCGTAATCGCTGGATCGAGTATCTTTAGCTGGACACTCCTCGTCCCCTCATGCTGCAGCAAATGCCGTCGAAAGGGCCACAAAAATCCTGAAGAGAAAACTTAAGGAGCTCGGGCAAACGCCAACCCGAAAAAAGGATGTAAGCAGGGACAATGACCACTACAGTCCGAATGACCGACGGAAGTTGTCTGGAGGCCAGCCTCCTCCAATGAGCGAACACCGCGTCAGTTGGACAGATGCGTCAGGTGAGGTCTGCAGTCCAAAAGAAGGCACGCCCTGATTTATCAGAATATCGGTCAATTTGGTCCTGTACAACTCTTCCACTGAAGCTGCTTCCAGTTTAACTGTTCAAGCAAACTACTCATTTCTGAAAAGTCTGCACGGTGGATTTTCCGGATTTCTGGCCCACTATCAGATGGAATCAAATGCCAGCACACGGTGATCACTATGTTCCAGTGAAGATTCAAGTAACACATGGGCAGTTAAACGTCTTCTTTTGGCGATAACCAAATCCTACACAAATGGTGGTTGGCGGACGCGGTATCTGCCGGCTGCGACGGAATGTTGAGTCCAAGCGCTCTGTTGAACTACCTTATTTATGGTGGTCACAAAATATCCACTAGAATCGGAGGACGTGAGGGGCAAGGTTAGAGGAAGGGAATCGGTCCCACACAGCAGGAACTGAATCCAGTGTGTCTCAAAACGGCACGTGGGTGGCTCTTGGGGGTACAATCGGGATAGGCTGGGCTGCGGGTGGGTTTGAGGCCACCCCAACCACCCTCCCACGTTTCGAGTCATTTCGGGAAACAGAACTGTCTACCGAGCGCTTTACGTTAGTCATCTTGTATTAGCCAGGTCACAATAGGTGTTGTTATGGACGGGGGTTCAAGGTCAGCTGACTACTCAATACCCCGAAGTTTGTTGAAGAGACTGAGGCGGTTTCCTC